TGGGTGAAGGGAAAAATATGAACAGCTGATGTGTCAAGACCGGGTGAAATTGATTACCTCCCAACATAAGGCATCTCTTTGACATTTTATTGCCCATAAAGAGGTGCTATCTGTTTCAGTTTGCCTCCCAGCTGGATAACAGCTAGTCTTATGTTTACCTAATAGCTACCGGCACTACGTGTTATTATGGTAACAATATTTTCACTGTAACAAATCAATCGGTGCGTGTGAACACAAACACAAAGATCATTTATCAACTGCAAAAATGTAAAATTATGACCTTTCTCCAAAAGGATCCAACAAGGACTGAAGTGGAATCTTACATATGTAACATTGGAGGGTCAGTGCTGTTCGCTTTTACCAGTCATCTTTTGTTTTACTGTACATGAAACTATCGTTTTAGATCAACAGTGCTTAAGTAATTACATTTTATTGGGTATCACGATCTCATTGTCCTTTTCCAAGCCTTTCCAGTGTAACATTTGTAACAAAAACAGATACAGACAGCAAAGTACGAGATTGCACCAATGTTACACATGAAGGTGGTTAGATTTGCAACAATCATTGCGAGACTCGTCTCTCTTGCTTATTCACTCAGATTTAGGTGACCACATGTATGGGCGCAGAAGTTGAAATAATATTATGGTATTCATGTTACAATAAAGGGAACATCTAAAACTCGTGAAGTAGCAAAACAATTAGTGAAGGCGGATACGTTTTAATGGTTAGAGGCCTGATGCCTCGGGTTATGTGGGTGTAAGTCAGGCTCTGTACTGAGAAGTGCCAATGATTGTTGGAAAGGGGGCTTCTGATTTAACTGTAAGATCCTGAATCACAACCCATACTAGTAAACCAAATCTAGGGACCAAATTTAGTGAAAGTTTTGGAAGTGGAAATTTTTTTAAGTTTCATATGTAACTTGCAAAGATCATCCGTTAGCATTGGAAACAAAGGTCAGGGACAACGTCCCAGAGCAGTTTGTACAGGCACAAAGACACAGAAAATTAAAACACAATACACACTTCCTACAGATGGTTACCATGGTTTACAAGTTCTACAATCTGTGAGTCCTAAATGGTTTTATAAGGTATTGAAGAGAGAAATGTCTTATTCTATGAACAAAGTCTTGAAAATTGCAGTTTAGAATGAGGATATCCGACATGGACAAGTGTCTTACAAATGTCAACTATATTCTAATATATCCAAATAACTATATCCCAATTTTGTGTCTGCATTCAGTTGTCAAAATTACAGATTTTATGTCCAATTCTGTACCAAAAATAGTTTATGGTATGGTAAACATGATGGAACTTGATTTAGATGTAAAGTGTTGATTTGCCTACAAATACACACTATGTGAGTGGGGAAAGTGGGTTTTTCTTGGAGCTGAACCGGATCCAAATTGACTTGCTTGACAGTGGAAAGTTGGAATCGCTGTGGCGGTCTTAGTTGTTCAGTGCCTGAACCAGATGGGTCCACAGTCATCCAGGGCAATGCTGATGAAAGACCAACTAGCCCAGCTTGTCAGCAGCAATTGTACTATCACTGGGAGTAGGAATTCTTCCCACTCAGCACCTGATAACCATGCAAGCCAAAGCCCTAATGGGTAGATAGGTTCTAGGAATAAATACATTTTTAATTAGATTATAAAATTGCAGAGGGGTGAAATTTGCCAAATTTCAGATTAACAAGCCAACTAAGTACTCTTAAAAGAAACTTAGCACAAATGTTATGGTTAGTTACTCTGAGGTACAGACCATATCATTACAGCATCATTATTTTATTAATATGATTGAAACTTCTAGCATTGCATTAATGTTTTATGAACAAAGAGAATGAGTGCAGAAAGAAAAAATGTGTACAAAGTAAATAATAGAACATTAATGTATAATATAACACAGTAGGTTAGAGCTAACAAAATTAACCTAAAATAGTATGGAAACAGCCCAGTATAAATTGATACTAACTATCAGAACATTTTGGCAAACAAGTCAGTTCTGTGAAACACAATGCACATAAGTGATAACTGCATTTGTTGTATGGTCATTGCTCATGTTTTCATTCTCTCTTTGGTGGCAATTTTCAAATCAATAGATGAACTATTCTTCCTGCATAGCCCTGGAGTACTCCCTACCTGATATATATAATGCTCATAAAATATTATCATAGATATAATGAAATGTTGGCAAAGTTTGTGAAATACATTAGCAAGAGATGACTGTTACTTTACCCTTTTTTATTTTAAAATATTTTATTTCTCCCCAACCTTGTCCAGTACAGCCTCCTTAAAAGTTTGAGATATTATGTTATACGAATGCACTATTTAAATACAAGTTCTTCATGGTATCCCTGGACCACAGAGAAGGGATAACTTATCCATCCTGTCTGCCTGTTCAGGTGGACGGTAAAGATCCCATGGCAGTATTCAAAACAAAAAGGGAGTTTCTCCCGGTGTCGTGGCCAACAATCCGCCAGATGCAATTGGTCATTCATGGCTGTTTGTGGGACTCTGCTGTGCACAAATTGGCTGTCATATTCACCCAAGAAAACAGAGTCACTACACTTTACAGTGACAGTATCCTGTGAAGCCCTTTGAAATGTCCTCCCAACATGAAAGGCACTCTACCAAATGTAAGGATTACTGTATTACTATTATTACTATTGCTTAAGTCCTTGTCTATGTTACTCTATGACCAGCTGTTGGAACGTACCTGCATCCCCATCTTCCCATTGGATGTGCCCGGTAACCCCCCACAAAGGTACAGTTTAAAAAGCAACCTTTTGTATAGGGAATCACAAGTATAAATCTGTAGTATTCAGTACATAACCTAACAGTATTCCAGAATGCACAGTGGATGAACAGTGCATTGTGACATTGTACAAACTCTACATTTTTAGTGTAAGTCTGCTTCTGGATGCACACTCCACCTCACTAAGCCAGTCAGGAACCTGAGTGTCTTGTTCAACCTTTAACTGTCCTTTCTCCCCCATATCTGTGCCATGACCCGCTCTGCCTTTCCGCACCTCCACAACATTGTCCAACTCTGCCACTGCCTCATGCCTCAGGCCACCGAAACCCTCATACACGCGTTTGTCACCTCAAGGCTCGACAACGGAAACCCCCTCCTTGGCAGCTTTGCCAACTCTTCCTTCCACAAGCTGTAGATCATCCAGAACTCTGGACTCATGTCCTCTACCGCACTAGGCACCATGATGCTATCACCCCCACCCTAGCCCAGCACCAATGGCTCCCCATCCCTCAGAAGATAAAATTCAAAATCCTTGTCCTCACTTTCAAGGCCCTCCATGGCCTTGTCCCCTCCTACATCTCTGATCTGCTGATCCCGCATTAACATGTCTCAAAGTGCTTCACAGGATATACTGTAAAGCAGATTGACAGTGTAATTTGTGAGCGAAACGTCAGTTTGCACATAACAATGTCTCACAAACAGCTATGGAGTGAGTGACCAATTTTATTTGGGGGATTTGTGGGCTGTGATACCAGAAGAAACTCCCTTCTCTTTTCGAATAGTGCCATGGGATCTTTAACATCCACAGGCATCCAGGTCCTTAGTTTAATGTCTCATCTGAAGGCTGATACCTCCAAGAATGCAATACACCCTAAGCACTGCACTGGAGTGTCAGCTTAGACTACGTGATTCCAAATCCTTGAACCCACAACCTTCAGACTCAGAGGCAAAACCACCATTAGCACTGTACCAGGCTGACACATTCGAGAGTTTAGGGAGAGAGAGTTCTAAAATAACAGGGGAAATGAGGCTGAAAGTTACTGATAGTTGGGCAGAGGAGGTGTGGGACATGAAGCAGGCCTAACTTGAAGATCTCAAAGGTCATGGAAGCACATGAAGCTAAGAATGAAGATCTTAAACTCAATCCACTAGGAAATAGGAAACAAATGAAGCCTGGCAAGGATGGGGGTGGGCTTGTGGAGCCTGGCAAGAATGGGGGTGGGCTTGTGGAGCCTGGCAAGGATGGGGGTGGGCTTGTGGAGCCTGGCAAGAATGGGGGTGGGCTGGCGGAGCCTTACGTGGGGGAGAATGTGGATTGCAGCGTTCTTGGGCAACCTTGTGGAGGATTAAGCTGGGACAGCTAGTAAGCAGGGCTTTGGAAAAGTTGAATCTGAAGGTGACGAAAGCATGGCTCAGGATTTTGATTGCATGGGGTTGCGATACAATGGAGATAGTCTATGGAAATAGAGGAAAGCGGACTTGGATAGAGGCTTAAGGGAGGGGTGAAGGTCAAACAAAAAACAAGATTTTACATTGGCTATACAAACCGGAGTGAGCAGATGGGAAGGCTAATATAATCAGCGGTGGTAGAAAGGAGACACTGGTGGAAAACAAGCTGGTGACTTCAGTTTTGTTTATTTTTAGTTGGAGAAAGGTAAGGCTTATGCTTGACATAACCACCTTTATCTTAAAACANTTTTTCTACTGCAATTGAGCAATCTTACAATTTTCATATATTTCAGGATCTGTTGGGCTCAATAGAGGATTCAACAGGCAGAACCAACTTTTTGATTTCATGAGTTGAATAAATATCAATTTTATGTGTGTAAACTTTTTAATGTGTCCAGTAACTCAGAAAATAAGGGTCAGAATGCAATGGACCTACTCCAGATGAATGTGATACCAATGCTGCTGAATGATTCTGAAGTGAGCACCAGAGAATTGCCAGGATGTTGTAGAACACTCCTTTCAGAGCAGTGAATTAAATAATTAATTTTGCGAGTGCTATCATTTTGTGATTGCAGGCATCAGTTTAAATGGACTGGTGTAGATGACCTCTTCATTGGAAAAGTGAAGGGTGCTATTATAAATGCAAGTTGTTGTTATTTTCGTGGAAATTATGTGCTAAGTAAATAGTTAAAATTAGAATGGTAAAAGTTAGCTCCCCAATAGTTGAGTGACTAACCCCACTGTGAAGTACGGCAATGGGCCTACAATCCAGTGAGGTGCCAATTCAATTCATGGTATCGACTGAGTCAGCTGGGATTGTGGTAGAGGTAGTACAGTATAACTGGAGATATTATTGGTTCCTATGACCCTGAGCTAAAAAGGGGAAAAATGGCCACGATTTGCTTTACTGATTACAATTGCAGTTACAACTGCTAGAATTACATATGTGTGGATACCGAGTAAAAAAAGGATCTTGTTTGTGATGTCCTCTGTGCATGAGTAATTCGTCCCACACCACCATTCACTGTCCAGGGTCAGACGTAAAAGGATAACTGCTTGACTGTGGTACTCAAGGACAGCTGCTACTCTTCCAGGATTATAGTCATCAGGAGAGGCGATGAGGAAGAAAGAGGAAATAGAGTGAACAAAACAAAGTTTAAATTTGATAACTAAATTGATGAGTAGACTGTGGAGTGTTTCTGCTATTTTGTGAAACTTATTATTTGCAATGCAATTCATTCTCAGTGGAGACACATTTGCCTGAACTAGCAAATATTTTATGAAGATGATAAGTATAGTATCAATTAATATTATTCAATAAATCATAATAGTGTGGTCATGACACCATTTTCATCTTGGCAACTGTAGTTTTCCCCAATGAGGATAAATAAGGAAAGTTGAAATTCATAGTAATTGGGGAAATAACCAAACCAGTTGCTCCATGTTACAAAGGATCAATGAAGATATCAGTTTTCAATCCAGTCATAGTGCAAATC